TATATATATATATATATATATTAAAAACAATTAAATATACGGACGATTATTGCTGCTAGAAGAGGCTCTAATTAGCATTTAGTAGACCAAGATCACACGTTAGGACTACAGCCTTTTTAAATTAGTAGGCACTACTTAAGGTTAGCCCTCCACCTTAGAATAATATTCTATAAACAGGGATCTAATACATGTCTTTTTAAGCTGAAATAACTTAATATTTTATATGTCTATAGTTGTATATATTTTCATGTAACTTATTTAAGAATATGTATGCATATGCACGCTCCAAGCATCTAGTGGTATATATATATATATATATATAAATCTGTAAATTTTAAAAAAAAAAAATTATTTGATTCTATTTTTGATAGATAAATAAAAATATTTTATTTATTAATTTAAATTAATAAAATAAAATATAAAATAAATTTTAAATTTTTTAAAATTTGTGGACATAATAATTTTTTTTAATTCAATTATTAAATCTAGAATATGAACTATTGAATGAAATAAATTTAAACCTAATAACTAATATTTTACGACGATCACATCCGCAAATTTTTAAAACTTTTAAAAAATATTTGATACTCATTTTTTTAATTTAAATTAATAAATAATCATAAAATATTTTATATTTTATATTTTAATATATATATATATATATAGAAAGAGACACACAACCCCCACACACATTTATTGGTTAGGCTAATAACTGACCGACCCCAATTTTAAAATATAATCCCAGAAGAATTGAATCATAAAAATCTATTATGCAGTAATGAACTAAGCTTAGCTATTATATTTGACAAGAATTTTCAAGCAAATCATTTTTTTTGGGGGATAAGTTTCTAAATCAAGCCACAATCCCCGAAATGGATCGCATTCCATGGTGAACAAAACTCTGAATGGCTGCACTAAATTTTCATTTCTTTTCATATCGTGTCTTTCATATTTCAAGCTAACACAAAAGTTACAAACATCATTTCATCTCCATAACAACCGTGTTATCTTTTTCCATCTTCATTTCCCTCAACCATACAATATATTTTATGACTATTCCAAGACACTCGTTTCCTTCCTTTACAAACGCCATTCATCATATTCACACCCAATCCAATGTGCTCCTCCTCCCCTCTAATTTTAAACTTCATTCTTTCTCTTTTCTTTGGCAATTCCATCCTTGTGTCTTTCTCTTCTTTTCCACAAAATCCATTGCTCTGCAATATGCCACTGTTTTCCTCCCTAGAAAGTGAATGCTCCCACAATTTCTCACCACATTTCCTCCCCTTAACCAAAACCTGATCACAGTTTTCCTTAGGAAAACGTGGGAGCCAACTTGGTATGTGAGTTTTTGCTTCTGGATTAAAGAAACACGTTGACGTACTAGAGTCAATGGTTGCTTCAGAAACATCTCTTAAAGGAATTGGTTTAGCAAATGGAACTTTATTAGATAGGTCTGCAAAATTCATAATATCTTTTAGAGCTGAAGACCTCAACAGGTTACCTTCGTGCATAAGTGAACCACCAGGAAATCCTTGAACAGAGATCAAATCATGAATGCCATTAATGAGGTCAGAGAGGTTGGAGTCGGTACGATTGGAGGCATTAGCAAAAGAGGCAGCTGATCTCACAATTGTTTCCAGATATCTTGTGGAAACATTAGTTAATGCTTCAAGAGCATTGTATTTGGTTGTTTTGAATCCAACTGATTGGCAGATCTGAGCAACTGCAAATTTGGCTATAGCAAATGAAAATTCTGATGAGGTTTCAGCTACTTGAGCATCATTTGCTCCTATACCCTTCCTCTTTTTGGTTTTTGCCCTTCGGACCAGTTTTGATGCAGCTTTTGTGCTTTTATTCTTTTGCATAGGGTTCATGTTCATAGAAAAATAGTTAAAAAGAGAAAGGTAAGAAGCTAGAAAGGTAAGAACCCTATGAACAACCTTGAAGTCACAATTTGTCCCTGATAAGGAAGAAATTTACGCTAGCTCCTTTCCTGCCATCAGACCAAGAAATATAATTACTAAAATTCAATAAGCACTTGCACTTAGAAATGATGAAACATACTTTATAATTTCGACAAAAGGTGTTCTCATCAATTGTAATTTGCTCATTTTAATTCCATTCGTAATCGAGATTCACAAGGTTCTAACAAGCCACTTCAATTTGAAAGCAGACAAAAAAGACAAAGTATGATCAATGTCTGAATCCAGAGACACAATGAAAATTAAATACCCAACTCATAAAACTAAGGCACCTCCATTGTTACTTCCCCAGCCCCCGAAAAAGCCTAGCCTTGGAAACTGATAGGAATTACATTGATTAAAATAAAAAGAAAAGTATAGCCAAAACCAGAAAATGTACTTCACTCTTCTTCCCATTACTCTAAGGAAGGCACAACCACACTAAAACCCCAAATTTCCTTACTCTCCTTCTCATTACCACGATTCCCTTTTATCACTCTGCACCCATTCAATTAGGATCATTCTCAGACAAAAAAGTTAACAATTAACTCATTAAAAATTGAACACTAGGCCCAGTTAGACAAAACAAAAAGATGAAACACTGTGTGAAACGAATATCAATTAACTAAAAATATCATAAATGTAACATCCAAAAATAAATTTTTAAATTCTCTGATTACGGTGTGCAAAATCGGTGCTAATACCACAACAAACACCCTATATGCATGAATGGGGATAGATGAATAAACGCCGGAAAAGGGTTGCTAACATTAACAAATTATTAATTCATCCGTAAAGAAGTAACGGGAAAAGTGATCTTACTCATGGAAAAAACACTCTGGTGTGCCCTCATTTCTCTTCGGTTCTCCGCTGCAACGGCAAGGTTAAACACAAAGACTTCTTTTTTTTGTTTGTGTACATCACTATTAATTGGGTCCACTGTGGACTCAATGGGCCGTCTGGGCTTCGATTAATTATTGAAAATTCTTCTAAAGCAATATTAAAAACAATAATTTTCTAAATTTATTTATATCTATAATCTATCTCACTGTTGTATTTTAATTTCTCACCATTGATGAAAAAAATATTATACAAATTATTTACACAATAGATCTAATTTCAGAATAAAATACAAAAAATGGATAGATAAGCATGATTGTGTGTATCTTTTAGCTAGTATATAAATACAAAGAGATATTATTAATTCAGTAAAAAAAAGTTCATAATAATAACATTTCAAATTATATTTTGTTAAAAAAAACTTATTTACATGGTAAATAAAATAAATATATAACAATAATATATACTAGTGAAGTCGAGGCATTTTATGCCTCTATTAAGAATAAAATAAAAATAAAAATAAAATAATAAAAATATATTGGTCTAACTGGTATTATAATTAGTCTATTAATTTTAAGTTCTTGAATTTGATTTAAAATATTTTTTTTTTAATTTTTTTAAAATAGAAAGGTAAACAAAATGTGGAGAATAAGGTGGTTACTAAAAATAATATCTATTAGTGTGTGTATATATATATATATATATATATAGTTTAGAATATATTATTAGTTATAACTGATACAAAATTGTGATTTGTATTATTCCATAACTAATATACGTGTTTGTTGTTAGAAATGTAATTTATTCTTTTTGAGAGCGATATGTAATTTTTTTTCAAGTTATAGGAGTTTGTCCGTCTTTTCACGTGCATGTATATATTTATTTAATTATAAATTATATATTTGTGCTATGAAATCAAAATAAATCTTCCGATATTTTTAATTAAAATATGTTATAAATTAGAATTAGAATATAAATTGTATAAATTTGTATGTTTAAATTATAAAAAAAATATATTGGTTACGATTATCTTAATATAATTATGTATTTTTATGAATCGAAAATGATAAAAGCCGTGATTTATTAAGCCTTTAGATTTTTTTTAAGTGACATTTGTGTAACTTTGTTTACATATATTTATAATATGTATTATTTATTTCTATTCCGAAGAGATCTATTCTTGTATTGAAATTTTTTTTGTTAATCTTTTTCTTTTAAATGATCAATCTTTTGGTTTCTTCATCAAATTTTCAAGACTTCTAGATCATGATTTCCTGAATTCTTGTCTCAAGCGAGAGAGAGGGTACTTGCAAAACTACTTCGAAGCTCAAGTAAATATTTGATTTAGAGCTATATATGTTATTATATTAAATGATTATATCTACCTTTCTCTCCTATCAATATTGTATTTATAGTGACTTATTTGGGTCTGATGGACTTTTTTGATTAAGAGGTTAATAACTTAAGTTTTATACCTTGATCTGGACTGACGTGAATTTTTATTATCTAACCGAAATTAGCATAATGTAGCTTCAATAATAAGGGGTATTTGGCTTTCCTTATGGTCGAATACCTTTTCGGGTTATATGTTAGCCGAACTGGTACTCAGCTTTCGACCTTCATGGCTTCTAGATGGCTGCTTTGCCTAGGGTGATGTGGCTTCGATGGTGATGAATATCTAGTTTTTTTTGTGGTTGAATACCCTTTCGAGTTGTGCACTGACTGAAAGGGTTTTCGATTCCCCGGTGTACATCCCCTAAAGCTCGAGGAGGTATGACGAAGGGATTTGAGAAAGGGTTATGAGAAATGGGGTCTATTGGCATCATCCCTTTATTGCACTGTGGCTGACATGTGTGAGGTGTGTCTACGGAATTTACAAGGGTGCTAACCGAAGGCCGAAAGCAAGTTATTTGATAATTGATAAGTGTTTCTTTTATTAATTATTAGTAGGCCAATACAAGTACCAATGAAAATTTTTCCAAGTTACAAATATGTGTGGTATGTTAAAATTAGACAAAGTCCTCTAACTCACTTACCCTGCTTATACTAGCAAAGAAAAATTCTTATTAGGCGTGAAGTGATTGCATACTTATAACGCATTCCAATCTCTCTTGATTTGTAATCATGTAATAGCTGACAACACCTTTTATTGCATTATCTATATAAACAAAAAGCATGTCATACGTTTCTCTTAGGCTTTGTTTGGATTTGAGGATGGAAAAGGGAGAGTGGAAAAGGAGAGATTTGAAGGAAAAGTGGGTGGAAAGTGAGGTTGTTTGAATTAAGGAAAAGTGAGTGAAAAGTATAGAGAAAATTTGTGAAAGTTTGTAAATGAATTGATTGATGTGATAGATAAAAATAAATTTTTTAATTGATAATTGTGTAAGATTAGTGTTTTGCCTTTAGGTTAAAAAACAGTTTATAATTATTTTAATTAAAAGATAAGTAGATAAATTTTAACTAAAAAATTATAAAATATTAATTTAAAAATTTAATTTAAATATTTGTTTTAAATTTAATGATAGATAAAAATTAAAAATTTAATAGATGAATATATAATTTACACTTTTACCCTTGGATTAAAAATGAGTATAATATTATTTATTGTAAATAATAATAATTACAATAAAATTATATTAATAGGTATAATTTATTAAAAAAATAATAAATAATGATAAGAATAATAATAAATATTAGAAAAATAATAAGAATCATAATAAATAATAATGATACTAATTATAATAAATAATAATAATAATATTAATAAAAATGAAAATAATAATATTTATAATAATAAATAATAATAACAAAATATATTATGATAATTATATTTTGTAACATTATTTTATTAATGTTTATGAAAGTGTTATTATTTTAATTTTATAAACATGTATTACTTTATTTTTTTTATATTTCCACTTTTTGATGTCAATATTTAAATAATAGAATTTTCTTAATATAAAAAAA